AAGTACATTTTCACCACGTCTAAAAGCTTCACCAAAAATTATGACTTCACTATTAATTTGTTAAGAGAAAAATATTCTCGAAAAATTTCGTGGTCTTTCAACTTGAAAAAAATTCTCTTTCATGTGTGTGTGTGCAACTATTCTAAATTTTAAAAGCTTATCTCTTGGCTTCATTCTCATTTGGGCGTTGACCCGAACTCAAGCTCCAACTGTTAAAATGGATTTTTTTTTATTCTCTACTAAAACACTAGTTTTTCTTTCTACTTTTAAAAAAGAATTTTTCTATTCTTCTCTTTCAAATATTTCCGATTTTTTTATTCTTTATATTTTTCAATTTTTATTCTTTGGATGATTATTTCTAAAGTTTCTATTTTACAAATATTTCTAATCACAGTTTTTTACGGATATCAAATTTTTTATTTAAAATTGAGACAAAAAACGTATCAAAATGTTGCTTCGCAACACTTTTGCTACGTTTTTTTGTCTCAATTTCAATATCCTTAGAAAAAATTTATATTTTTATTGAAATTGAGATAAAAAAGGTGTCAAAGACGTTGCTACTATTTTTATACGTTTTCTGTCTCAATTTGATGTAAATGAATTTCTTTTTTCATTTTTCTTTATTAATGAAATTTTCTGTTTCAAAAAAAAATTATTCTAAATAGAACTTTTAATAAAACTTAATTGATATTATCCGTGGAAAAAATATCTCATGTAATAGCGCTTGGAATTTAGACCGCTCGACTTGATGATGTTAAATTAATTAACATGAGAATTAACACCATTTGTAATTCTATTGACAGGTACATCAGAGAGTTTTTAAATAAAAATCGTGTCAGTGAAAATACAAAATAATTCAATTGACGCAAAATTCAATTAATAATTCGGTTATGAGATTGAATTACAAGTTTAACCGAAATCGAACTGTGGAAGAAAACTTTTACATTCGACCAAATTGAACTCTTTCAAATCAAATTTTTATTTTTAATCAAAAAAATAAATTAGTAGCTACTATTTTTAAAAACGAATTTTATCCATAAAATATTTACATAAAAAAGAATTTTAGTACAAATTTTTGTATTTACTTTTTTGAAATGATAAAACAGTATTTGATCATTTTAATTGTAATTTTGTATGAAACTGAAGTCCGCAACGTTTTTAAAAACAAAAAATCAAAAAAGAATTCCTTTAAAGTTAAATTTATCTCTAATTTTTAAGAATTTAATTGTTACTTAACCTTCAGAGGGCCGAGGTATTTTGACGAATCTTTTTATCGAACTGACGTATTATTTACAAATTATTTTAAATAAGAAACTAAAATCTGTCCAAATTTACCGGCCCTCTAAAGGTGAAGAAACAATTATTAAAAAATAACATGATTTAGAATCAAAAAGAAAAAAACCGTTCCACTATTTTTTTTTGTTTTTAAAAACCTTGCGGACTTCAGCATCATAATTTGGTTCTAGATTGTGATTAGAAATTCTGACGGCAAAAGCAGTGTCTCTTAAAAAATTTCAAAAGTACAAAAAGAATATTAATTCATTTAAGAAGGTCTAACCTTTCCTTTTTGTATCTGCTACGACCTTGACTCCCTGCGCCATTCGTCAGGACACTAACTTTCCATAGTGACAACTAATTTGCAACTATATTTATGGAACCTCACAGGGGGATGATGAGAATAATAGAAAATAGAGCAGGAGAATCCAGTGATGAAAAAAAAGTGCCGGAAACGCCCAAAAATATTAGCCTAACATCAAAGTGTAATACAAATCCCAAAGAGGAATATTGTTGACACCAAGATAATTTGCTCGGATGTGTATCAACTCACATCTGATCAGCTGTCACTCAACCCGGTGGTTTAAAGGACTAAAATGAGGAAATGTGAGGTTAAGACTTTACGCTCGTAGGCTGCGCAACCTCAGACTTGAAACTTGATATCACACCAACAGTATGTATATATTCTCATCTCAAAATTCATTCCCTACATGATGAAAACAACACCCGACACACAACAATCACCGCACATTGAATTATCATAAAAACGAAAACTAATGACAAATGAAATTTCCGGTCATCATGGCACCGAGAGTAGTTCCCGATGGAAACAACCACTTTTCAACTTCATCGCGCCGGCTCGAAGTTCACTGACATTTCTCTCTTGGCGCGTTATGATTCGCAGTACAAACTTGTGATTCTCTTTTTATTTCCACCCCCTGTTTCGCGACTTTCTTCGATTTTTCCATCCCTCTTTATTTTTCGCCCAAGAAAATACACACACAAAGTTACAACCCCCGACACAATTAAAGACAAAGTCGACAAACTCAAGATTCTATTTCCTTTTTTATTCTTCCCGACACAATGTCATGAAAGAAAACAAACAGCGGAATATTCAGTTTGACGACACCGCAATCTCGACCGTGTTGCCTGGCCGAGTCCCGGCTTGTGACGTCACGGGAGTGTACAGAGTTGGGAAATCGATCCCGAAACCGTTTCTCTCCTCTTCTCTCTGCACACGTCTACTACTGTTCGGTTCAAAAACGTTCGCCGACCTCCTTGTCCCGGAAATCCCGAAAATCCACGAGTCGCGCAACGTCCGGCTTCGTGTGTTTCCGACTAATCCGGGAAGGAAACTAGGATGCCATGCTGCATTCTCGCGAGAACATCTTTTTCCACCTTTTCCCCTATAGACACATGCATGTGCCAATCAACACTTTTTCCCCTAGGAGAGGATATCATATCAAAGTTCCACATTGACAAACTCTTTGACCTAATTCACGAAAATCAACCTCTACTCGCGTTATATCCATTTTCGGTGTTTCTAATTAAGTAGGGGGTTTACTTCTAATTCTGGAGTTTAATTGAACTGGAATTAACAAAGTTTCATGAATACACATGTATATGATAATTCACCGAAATTTAACCATTTCTGGTGCGTTTGTGTTTATTCTCTATCTTTTGTATTATAATTGAATCATATTTTTTTAATCGCTTCGATAAATTGATTTCTCATTGAGGATGTATTTTAATTATCTTTATGAAGATTTTTGTCTTTTAATTTTCACAAAACTGGTTTTGAACTTGTCAAAAATACCTTTTTCACATTTTTGTGTAGTTTTTTTGAAAAAAGTTGAAAATTATGCGCATTTCCCAAAAATCAAACTATTTTCTTTCTATTCTAACTAAATAAACAATTCATTAATAAATTACTTTTATCACGACTTTTTTATTTTATTTTTTATGCCAACATTTTTGTGCACTGAATGTTCGGTTCTTCAAGTACATGTCAACTGGGACAAATAAATATTCATTTGTATCGAATAATTTTTATTTAAGTCAATTAAATGATATGCAAATATTTAAATTTATTTGATTTTAATGAAAATTATTAGAAATAAATATTTATTTCCGAATAAATATTATAAAATTTATTCCTAATAAATATTATAAAATAATAACAGAAACTTATTTAATGAAATAAAATGTTTTCGGAAGTAAAATATAAAACTTAATTGAATGAACCAAAGCAAATGCATTCATATATAAAAATATAGTTGAACAAATTAAAATTTTTACAGAAAAAAAAAATTTTCGAAATTATTTACTCTATATTTACAAGTATTTTTTTCAATTAAAAAATTTGTTCACCACAAAAAGTAATTTAAAAAAAGTCCCTCCCTTTCATCATCCTGTTGATTTTATTAAATGTATCTCTATAATAGAAATAAATATTTGTAACGAAAATAAATTTACTCCCAGTTCCGAATGTCCAAATAAATGAATTTTTTCATCTGACCTATTTTTAATTTAATTTTCAATTCAAGCGTTATTTATGAAAATATACACATTATTTCGAAACAAAATGTTCGGTTCATATGAGAGTTTTGAAGTTGTTTTGGGACAATAAAAAGCATCGGGGGGGAACAAATAAAAATTTCAATTAAAACAAAATTAAAAATGTGGAAAAAATAAAATGAAAAATAAAACAAAACGAAAAAAATTAAATTAATTGAAGTGAAATTGAATACATTGAAATCATTTTTGAAATAAAGTGGAAAATTAAATAACAAGGTTAATAAATAATAAATATAATAAAAATCACGACGTTGAAAGTACGCAACGTTTATCGAACGATAATTTTTTTAAATAACTGTTATTACACTAAAAAAATTTATTAGTTTTAAATAATTCTTTATTTGTCACGTACTCTTTAAATTTGAATTAGTAAAAATACAAATGTTTACTAATTTGAATTTGACTTTTTGTTTCTGAATTAGTAAATTTTACTAAGAAATTAGTAGAAATTACTATTTATTAATGAAATGTACTGATAAATTAGAAGAAATTACAATTTGACTAATTAGATCTGTCATTTATTATTTTTTGTTGTGATTTTGCATTTTTATTTTAAAAGAAAGTGTGATATAAAATTTGAATAATTTCTTTTCAATAATATGATTATGAAATTAAATTATTTACTTAATTAATCTTATAGGTTATGTTTGCTATCTTTTTAGTTAAAATAAAGGATTTTTTTGTCGATTCTTTAAAGTAAAAAATAATTTTTATTGAGTATTTTAAATGTAATAAAGATTCAAACATAATTAGTATGACTTTAAACTTAATTCACTTTATACATTTTCACTTATAATATAACAAACATAACCTATAAAATTTTGCTTCTTAGGTTCCTTTCTTTTTTGATGCATCACATTTATGTTGCATTTTAATGTATATCAATGTATGTGTCGCATAAAAAGTGTTAAAACAATGTTTTGTCCTTAAAAATATATTTGTAAATTTTTGAGGTTCTCAAAAATATAAATTTTGGGTCCTAATAAATAACCTATTTTGTGGTTAGCAAAGGCAATTATTGTGATATTTGAGAGAAAAAAGGGGGAGGGGGGATTAAAAATGGTTACAACCCAATACTAATAAATATTAGTATATAAATACTTGACTAATATCTATAATTAAATAATAGTTGAATCTTTTTGACTCACCAGGTCGATGAAGTATCCGCTGCACCTCCCCCGCCTCGCTTCCACTTTCGCTCTCGCTCAGCCCACTCCACTTCCTGGTGACATCGTTTTTTAATTGTGCAGATTCGATTTTCGTATTCGGCGAGCGGGAAGTCTCCCTCAAACTCGCGGTGCGTCTCAACGACCACGAAGCGTCTCTCGGTGGCGGCGGCAAGGGCTTATTAGCATCGTATTCACACTCCGCGTTCCTAAAATTACCCACTTTCGGACTCTTTTGATACACTGGAATATTACTCGGATGACCGGCATAAATATCCAAAGAAGGAGGTTGTCCCACATTGCCGTAAATTTTCACCGCATCTTGTTGTAACTGCTGCTGCTGTTGTTGTTGTTGTTGTTGTTGTGGCACTCGTGTTTCATTATCTTTGTTTCTTCTCGTCGGTGGTTCCGGTGCCATTCCATGCTTCGTCGGCCATTTTCCATAATTCCCAATAGTAGGACAATTGGCCTGATTCGAGAAGCTAACACGTTTGGGACCCATTGTTCCATATTCAATTGAACTATTTGAATTGCTGATTAAACTTCCTCTTTTAAAAATAGGCGGCGGTGGTCTTTTGTCAATATCGATTTCCTCCTCGTAGATTGGCGGTGTTTGTGGCTTACGAACGAGAGACGGATTTCCCTTTTCCTTGGCGACTCGAGAAAATCCTTTATCGCTTGTCTCGAGGGTAGATGGACTTTTCGTTAGGGGGACATTTCTAAAGTCCTCGTTGATAAGAAAACGGGGTGATGCACTTTGACATCGATTCACTTGTTGTTCTTGTTCGACTGTTGGGATGGTGACGATTTTTGTGACATTTTTCGGCGAACGCTCCTGTGCGACTGGTTGGGGTCGAACCACTAAAACGGGTTGATTTTGTACCTTTTGACCCATTATTGGTGGCTTTCCAACGACGACATTGTCACTTGCACGCTGACCCTTATTTTCCCAGTAAATACCCTCTTGAACTGGTACCGAACAAGTTTGATGAAACAAGCTGGGTGCTGAGCCGTGAACTTTCCTCGTCGGCGAAGTTTGTAACTTCTTCTTCCAATAAATCGGGTCATTCCTCTCGTCTTTTTGATTTTGCTCGTAGAACCTGCGCTGTTGTTCCTCGTCCAACTTTTTTAATTTTTGCCAATACATGGCGTCGCGTATTTCAGGAGCATCCTGATGAATTTGCGGTTGATGCTTTATTACTGTCGGGGAGGAATTGACATTCTTTCTCTGTGCGTCGAGTGCTTTTTGCTGCCAGAAGTAGGTTTCTAAATTGTGCATCGTTTGCTTCTTTGATGGTGACAATGTTTTTTGTTGCTGAGAATCGTAAATAGGAATTGCTTGATTTTTATTCTCGCCATTAATATCTTCTTTAGTGGATTGCATCTTCGGAGAATTGATATTAATTGGTTGATTGTGAGCAATTCTCGATTCCGAATACAGAGGCTCGGACGTGGCCACTGTATATCTTTCGTTATTTTTAGCACTCGATGACTCAGAGGAATTTAATGTTTGTACATTCCGCTGTATGGGTGATCTCTGATAAATTGAATGTTTCGATGATTCACTGTGAGGGATATTTAGAGAAATATTTTGTATGTCTTGTCTGTTATCGTCGCTTGCTTCTTTATTTTTCTCGGGAGTTTTATGTGTTTCGATAATTGTTTGTTGATCGTTGGGTGATCTGAAGCAGGCTCTCTCGGCAACAATATGTTTTAGTGATTGCGTATTGAGCGCTTGACTCGGGGAATCAACAATTGGAATGGGTGAATCGGGACACACGAGTTCTGATTTTATAATCGAGTGACTTTTCGGAGAGTCATAAATTATGTCACGTTTGGGTGAAGCTATGAGTATTTGATCGCACGGTTGCGCCTTTCGTGGAGTTACTAAATTTTGATTCATAACTTTAATTGGTTCGAGAACTTTCATTTTCACTTGCTCCTGATATGGTAGGGGTGACATTGCTTTCTGTTGGTTCGTCTCTTTGAGAATACCCTGCGAATTACTGGATGGCGAAACATTGTTGAGGGTTAAAATGGGACTGATTGGTGGAATAATCATCAAAGGAGACGTGACTCTTTTAGTTCGTTCCGGAGGTGAAGCTCTATTAGGGGGCAGAACCTCCAAATTTTCCTTCTCCATAGAATAGTCTTCGAAATTCTTCTCCTTCTTCCTGAGTTCCACGAAATAATTCTCATGAACTTCGATATTTTCGTAGTTCTCCTTCGGTCCAAGATCCTCGCTTTTTTCCTTGCCTTTAATATCTTCGAAATTCTCTACCTTTTTGTTTGTTAATTCCCTAACTTCTTTATCGTTGAAACTTTCGTCTTTGGAAATAGTCTCAATATTAGCGTGTGCTTTGATAAAACTACTAAAAACTGGAATATTGGGACTACTTTTTGATGGTGGGGGAATTTCCTGATTGCCCCTGGGCGAAATTGGTTTCGGTTCTCTTCTTGCTTTTCGATTATCATCGTACAGGACTTCTTCGTTATGAGATCTGGAAAAGGATTCGGAATGCGGAGACGTTTGTAGGTCAGGTTCGCCTTTATCGCCTGAACTGTTCGAGGGGGATGTGGGACTACTCGCGTGGGGTGAATTTAGATAATATTCACCGCTTTTTGAACTGGTTGGAGAAAATCCGCTCTTTTGGCTCGAATTCGGAGTGTAGGATGAGTCGGCATAATCGCCGGATTTTTGACTAAAACTCGGGGAATATTTCGGTGCACGAAGACTCAATTTTTCATCGGAATATATTTGTCGGGATTGATGCACCTGAACGGTACTTTGATTTTGATTAATATTCGTATCGATGAATTGATTTCTATGGATTTCCATACGTTTAATACTGTCAGTGTCATAAAATTCAGATCTATTCTCACGATAATTGGCGTCTTGCAGGACGTGCTCTTGATTGACTCGAGGATAATTACGAATTTCTTGTTGGTTCTCATTGACGAATTGTACTCTCTGTGGAATGGCTGGCAGTGGTCGGTCCATTGGGTGAACTATTCTCGATCGAAGGACATACCTTCCGGAGGGTGGTGCTGATATTCGCCCCGATTGTCCGTGATTTCTAATGAAGCAAGACTGAACTGGTTCTTGAAAACTGTGCTTTCTTTCTAAACTACAATGTCGGTCGGACTCAATTTGTCTTGAATTTTTCAATTGCCTCATATCGGGTGAACCACTTATTATGTTTTGCTCAATCCATTCAGTTTCGGGTGAAACAAAGTTATATGAAGTATTATCAGCATCGTAATGTCTTGGAGCGTGTCGTGTTTGAGAGTAATTTGACTCGCTTTGCAGAAAGTGATCCGGTGTGCTTGTAATTATTCCTTGAAGAGGAAATATATTTTGTTTCATATCGTGTATTCTGTCGTCGATCATGTTAGGATCTGACGTCACGTTCCTTCTTATGTCTTCATTCAATTTCATGGAGTCTATTGATTTGGAATAGTTACCATTCTGTTGATATTGAGGCAAATGTTTGTCGTCTCGTCGCTTCCTTTCTCGCACGTCCTTCTTGGGAGTTTTTCGCGATTCCTTTGGGGAAAAAATCCCCGGCAGTAGACGTCGTATCCCTTTCTTTTTCTTCTCATCCTTGGGCGATTTCGAAGAACACGGCTCCATATCGAAGAGTATTAAATTACCGTAATCTTCACCTTTATTCAAATTACTTTTCAAATCCTCTAATTTAATATCTGATGTGGTAAATTCATCTTCTTCTAATTTCGGTAATTCTTTCAGTAACTTTAATGTTAAAATTTCATCTTCTGTATTATTTTTAGTTATATATTCACTGGAGGATATACTGCTCAACTGTTCGACTAAAGAATCGGGCGAATTTAGCTCTAAATTATCTTTCAATAAATCTTTGTGACACTTCTTTTCAAGTTGTCCTACTTGTTCGTCGTATTTTTGCTTTTCAGCAGTATCGAAGACTCTATCCGTTTCTGGTTCTATGGCCTGATCAAGATTAGTTTTCAATAAACTGTTTTCCTCAATTTGAAGTTTTGTAGAAAGTTTTAGTTTATTTAGAAAAGTTTTATCAAATTGTTTTTCAGTTCCTTTTTTCCTGGAATAGTCGTCAATGATGGGTAAAATTTTCACCGACTCGACGTCAAATGTAGGAAGTCGTTCCTTGTAAATCTGAACCGTGTCAACATTGATTTTAGTCCCTAAAACTTTTTGAAGTTGTTCAATTTCGTATTGGCACTTCGCGAGACGATAATAGGCTTCTATATTTTTGTTCTTATCTTCAATATCCTCGGGAGACTTTCTATCTTTATTATGCTTTAAATCGACTTTTCGATCACACTGAACTGATAATACTTTATTCGACGTTGTTTCTTCTTTCAATAAATTTTCTAAATCACATTTATTATTTGATATAAAATTCTCTTTTTCGTTAACGAATTTTAGTGGTAACTTTAGTGGAACTTTATATTTATTACAAGTCAGAGATCGTGGGTTTTCTTTAAATGTTAAATTACTATCATTAATGGAAGTCTTTGTCAATCGAACTGGACGAATTCTTATTTTACTCGTTAACGGAATACTGTTGTTGCGAATCGATAAAATTGGAACTTTCGACGAATTTTTGTATGCCTTGACATTCTTTTCAAAGACTCGCGAATTTGTCTTGGAATTTGCTTTTAATCGAAGAAAATTCTTAGGGTCAGGATTATTGCATTGTGAAAAATTATTATTTTGCTCGGAAACGATACGTGAACTTTCGCTTTTTGTCAGGAGTATTTTGCGACTTTTACAAGTTTCTAATACAATCTTTTCCACTGTGACCCTATCCACCGAGAGAATACGCACCCCTTTTTCACTATTTCTGTCACTGTTGACGTTAGTGAAATTCCGAGACTCTGAAGTTCCAGTGTTAAAGTACTTCGGTATCTCCATCCCAGTAAATAAAGCTGCTTGTTAGGAACTCCTGTAAACAAGTTTAGAAAAACGTTAAATTAAATTAAAACTTCCAGTTACTAATAACTGCTAATTAATAATAATTACTAATAATCAATAAAGAAGTAATACAGTCTGTTACTCTTGATCAACTAAAATTCTAGTCAAATCGATCCGTTTCAAAAATAATTGATAAATAAAGAAAATGGGAAGATTGAAACTAAGAGATTAACATTGTGTCAGAACGTGTACCTGTAATAAAGTCTTTTTACTGACTGAATTGTTTATGCAATGTTTAAAGAGTCAACTAAAAGAAGAAAGGGAGAATCGAAGTAGGGGTTTAGAAAAAAGAAGGGGTTACGTTCATTGACATATATAAATTCTCATGTTTCAACAACAGAGAATTCGTATCAAATATTCTCAGGTATTTGAAGGTAATAAGTAATAACCATATAGATGACGAAACTTGTACAAGTGATACACTGTCTCTGATCAGGAAATGCATTTTTACAGAAATATCAAATAGTTGAAATATTTGATTTAATTATTACTAAGCCACTCGTAATTCATCGTCAGGATCAGATAAGAATACGAACAAAATTACGAACTTTTTTTTAAATGAATAAAATATTAAATTATCTCAACTAAAAATCAAAGAATAGAGTAATAAATATCTGGAAAAGAATAGTAAATACAAGGCAAGCAACGTAAATTACATAAGTAATGTGACAATAATATAATAAAGTTTTAAATTTGTGATTGAAATTCACAATTTTTCAAAAATTAAACAATGTCAAGAAAATTAAATTTTCTAATTTCACTTCTTCCATTTTTTTTCTAACACAATAATTTGAATTAATATCACACACCTGTACTGCTATCGTTTCAAAAATTAACATTCGGAGGATGAGTAATTGAAAAATTGGACATTGATAAGATACACCGACACTCGGTTAAATGGTGAAAGATAACGAGTGACAAAAGACTTTAAAATTAATGGGAATCTGATTTAAAAGCAGGAACACGATAATTTCATTCACATATTCGATACATTTTTAATTTTTCAAACTCTTGTTGGAAAAGAAGCGAAAATCTATAAAGATGATTGAAATGTTTATAAACTAATAACTAATTTAGAAAACACAATTAAACCACAGAGAGAAAAATAGAAAAATTAATACAAAAACAGATTATTTTTTCTCAAAAAAAAGTGTGATAGGTTTGAACAGATTTTAAAAATAGGATTCAAGAACAAAATTTGTGAATGAAACTGAAAATGGTAAATCACTATCTTCACGTGCAGAAGAAGATAAAGACTTGAAAAAAATTCCAGGAAGGAGAATCTGGTGATACAGTAGTAACCTGTTAAAACCTTATGCTATATCTGATAGATGTCTCCGTATGATCTGAACCGAGATTTAGCATCATGAATATAAACACAAATAATCTTGCGGGTGTTTATAAACACAATCGAAACCGACTTTTTAATTTCTACTGTAATTAAATAAATTAGTATTGTCTAAAGTATTACTTAGTATTAACTAAAAATTAGTATTAACTAAAATATTACTCAGAATTAACGGAAAAAACATTAAAAATGAATCCATACAATTATTTTTTACAACGAATTCTTTAACGGCATTTAAAAGAATTTAATAATAAACATTAATACACCGGAAATAGTTTAAAAAGACATGACATTACGACAAATACAAACAACTAAAAGGCAGTTTCCTTTTAATGTTCCAAAGCATAAAATTTAAAGAAATCGTACTTTTCTCGAAGTAGTAATTATGTTCCACAAACACTGCATATTGGCTACATTCAATTTTACAACATCCCATGAAGCAAATGCGGAAAAAAGTTACCTATTAATTACACTTCCAAGAAGAGAAGAAATTCTAAAAATACGCTTCTTTGTGACTTAGAATTCCTTTTTTCTAAGGAATAAATTTCTAATATTTTAATTTTAGATTAGATCAAAAGTAAATCACTGAGAACCTTGACATGAATTTGTTTTTCTCTTTTCAAATCTTAAAAATCAAAAGTCTCAGTGAGTGATGTTTGACGTACACTATCTTTCATTGGTTTCATTAAACTCTCTCTCTATTTTTGGTCCAGACAAGCTTTCAATCTGTTAGGGGAGTGAGAATTATTTCGAGCACCCGCACTTAAATGCACAGGCCCCCAATATATAAGAAGAAACTTTGTACGAGAAATCAGTTGCAAAAATTAAGCAAAGAATCAGCAATGAAAATTTTCCATTTCAATGAATTTTAATGAAAAATTTTCATTGATGATTCTTTGCTTAATTTTTGCAACTGATTTTTCGTACAAATAAAAATATAAAAGGAGATTTTTTCGGTGACAAGTGGAAGTCAAATTTTGTAAAATGTTTTATATAGTGAAACCCGCTGAAGGTTTCGTAGAAGCAGCGTTTTCTTTATAGTTTACACTTTACAGTGTACAATAACCAGGGGGATAACGGAACTGAGGATGAATGCAAAAGAAACATTCCTTTCGCTTACGCCCTGCTGACGTTACCTGTGCAACCGTCTTTGACCTGCAAAATATCTTCGAAAGTAGCACTAATACTAAAATTGCCCGTCCCCCCAACACCTTTCAAAATAACAAATTTCCCAGATCCATTTAACTACCAGAAAAAAATTTTTGATTTACTGCGCTCTCTTCAACGAAACAATTATAATTTAGATACTTGAACCAAATCAAATTATGCTCATTGTTTAAGGGATTTGTGCAGAATCTATTGTACCTTCTTTAAACTTTTTTTTAACTTTTTAAAACTTTTTTAAACTTCTTTAAAAACGAGTTTTTAAAAATGTGAACCTTTTTTTAAAAACGAGTTTTAAAACATGTAAAAGTTTGGAAAAAACGAGTCTCGCCTCGTGCATTGTCATAAGAACAACTCTTTCTGCAAGGAACGAAAAGAGCACGTGCATTTTTCACACAAAGGCAATTAGATGCAGCTCATGCGTGAAACTATATGTTTTATAATGTGCATCATACAACACAACATTAGGTGCTTGACATGCATATTTAATGTTATTCATTCATAATTATATTATTAACCCTTTTTTAAATAATAAACGCCAATTTAATTATTAGCCATTTGTTTCGTTTTTCCACACTTTTTCTCTCCTTGTCTTCGTTTTTCGATAAAATCTACAAAATAAAAATAGTTTCCACGAGAAAAGATTTATAGAAACAGGATAATAAGCATGTATCAGCAAATTTTTGAAATAACACTTGTGCGTTGTTATTTAAGAGTTTTCACTTCCTCTGCAGTTGCATTAAATTTCATATCCCATGCAAAATAATTACCGTTAACCTAAGGCACGTGAAATTTTTATTCACCAAATACAAAAAGACTTTCAAATTAAATTCAGAAAATAATCAAGAATGGTCCATAATTCTGTACTGATGAAAACTAACAGAAATTTTGAATAAATAAACTTTTAATTTCGAATGCTGAAATCAAGTTTGCATGCAAGAAACAAATTCTCAAAAAAACCCACTGCTTTCAGTTTTTAAACAAAGTTTGACAAATATTTGCTATTTCTGCTTTGCTTTAATATTGGTGCTAAATTTCTATCAATAAATTAAGAAGAAAAAAAAACACAAGAACCTTTTTTGCTTCATGTTTATGACTTTTACTTTGCAACGCTCGCAGAATTCAACGCTCCAGACAATGACAAATTCTAGACACATATATACATTTAATATATAAAGTAAATTCCTTGCAATGCACATGTACTCAATTAGAACCGATTAATTGAGGGTCTAAAAAGTCAAATGAGATAATTCCGAGTACATTAGCACTGTTCGTGTGTGCATTTATTCCTTACCATGATTTTCCTTGTCGATAAGGAAAGTAAACAAAACGAAGTATATCCAAATGATCGCAGGATAAGAATATCGGTACACACAAACGTTAATCCATTGAAAGAAACACACAATTCTAAATCACAATATTAACAGCACAAAACACATTTTCTTCGATTAAATAAAAAAAACTTGATAAAAAACACAAAAGTTGCGGTAAAAAAAGAGTAATAACAGAAAAAAAAGTTAAAAATTCGCGTCACCGCGTCTCAATGTGAGACGTGCCGGAAGACGAATTCAAGACGAATCAAGAGAAGTACATTCAACAAGTGATCCTGGGGTGGACGGGATTTCTTAGTTCGTTTCACGTTCAATTGGCGCCACTGGCCGACAAGTGCACGAACTTGGTGTTCATTTTTACCAACAAGTATTGTTTTGTAAACAAATGTTAAATTTTCTTTTATACAGATAGAATTGTTAGAGGAAGAATTAATTTTAAACAAGAAACTAATTGATTATTTCATTAATTTGCTTTTTAAAATAAAATTACCCTTTGAATTGTTCTGCAGTAATGTAGCCGTTTCGACTAGATGTCGGCACATGCTTTAGTTTACCTGTTCTGCAGTAATTGCTTTTACCTGGAAGGAAATGAATCTCTTTGCCAGTTACATTTAGGATCATTAAATTTCATTTATCGTATTAAATTTCAAACGCAATTTGAATTTTTTTTATTAAAATTCTTTAAAAATTCAAATTTTTAATACTATAATTAACTCTAATTAACATCTTTAACTTTTATTATTTTTCAGTTAAGAGTTTTAATTATTTTAGTAAAACTTAATTCTTCATCAATTATTAAATTAAAATTCTTTGAAAATCCAAATTTTTTAAAACTAATTATTTTCAATTCAATTTTGCAAAACATTATTTAATTTCGTAAAATTTTAATGCAATTTAAAAAAAATTAAGTATTTTTAAAAAATTAAATTGAAGCTTCTCAGAAATCTAATTCTTTAAATATAAATAAAATTACTTAAAACTTTAATAATTTTTTAAATGACAATCTGATTATTATTAATTTCTCCACAGCAATTGGAATTTCCGAGAAAAAGTTTATAATCTTTTAAAATTCAATTCAAAAAATCTTTTGTAATTTACTTCTAAACATTCACACTGTAATGCTTCTAAAATTCAATTATTCGCTAAGTTGTTAACTAAAATTCAATTTAAAATCAATTCTTATTAGAAAATTCTACGAAAATTCAATTATTTAAATACAAAAGTAAATAATTTCTTGAATAATTGAATATTTCTCAAAATTTAATTTTTATAAAGAACTTTATCAAAAATTTTTTAAATAATTCAATTGTACCGAAGAATTTTAATTTTAATAAAATTTTGGAAAATAATTCAATTCTTACAAAGAAATTTAATTAAAAACTAAATATTAATTTTTCACAAATAATAACATTTTACTATAAGAATTCATTTAAAATTCAATTATTTTATTGTTAAAATTTTTTAAAAATACTTATTCAAAACTTTAATCAGTGTATTCCAAAATAAAAATTTAAATATTACTACAGTTTTACAAACAATTAAATTTTTCAAAAATTTAAATTCAAAAAATGTTTTGAAATTCAATTATTTCTAAAAATTCAAGCTATGTTAATATTCAATTGTTATCTAAAATTTTAACTGAAATTCATTTCTAAATATTGAATATTTCTTAAAATTGAATTCTTATAAAGAACTAAGCAAAATTTTTTAAATAATTAAATTCTTTCAAAGATTTTTAACAATTTTTTTCAAGAATTTTCAATTTTCAAGAATCCGTGTAAAATTGTATTAAAAATAATTGAAATTGAATAAAATTAAATAATTGAATTCCAGTGAAAATTTTATTGTTTATGAAAATAATTGAATTCTTGCAACGAATTTTATTAAAATTTTCAAAAATAATTGAATTTTTCAGAAGAATTTTTTTACTTATAAAGATGATAATTGAATTCTTGCGAAGAATTTTAAGAAAATGTTTAAAAATAATTGCATTTTTCGAGAAACCTTTTAAAATTGTATTAAAAAGAATTGAAATCCTTTGACGAGTTTTATTATTTATGAAAATAATTGAATTCTTACAACGAATTTTTCAAAAAAATTTTTTAAATAATTAAATTCTTGCGAAGAAGTTTATATTTTTTTAAATAATTTTTTTTTCGAAATATTATAAAAATTGTATTTTAAATTCTTGTACTAATTCTAGAGATTTAATATTTCAGCAAAATTTTGTATAAAATACCCTAATTTGCCGCTGATCTGTAGCAATCCTGTCTTGAATCAAAAGGCGTAAAATTCAGAGAAATAAAATTTAACACTTCGGTCTTAAAATCATCATAAAGCCATAATGGTTTCAGCAGACAATTTTCTATATAACTCACAAGTTGTTAACTTTGTAAAAATATTAAAAGCGATGACATTTAGCACAAAGTAAAGCAGAAAATGAACAAAAAGTTTATTTTAATAATAGTGCAACTTGAAGCAAGACTCACTTCACCCCTTTGAGTATATAAATTTTTCGAAGAACGGAACACATGCGCATCGATTCAGAACCTGCACAGACCTAATTAATTCTCCGATTCCTGAATTAAATAGCGAGCAGGATGGGATTTAAGTATTTAACATAAGTGACATGTAAAACATGAGAACATACAAGTAGTTAAGTACCAACTTAGTAAACTTAGTATGTAATTGGATTAGAGCCTTAACGTAACCCTTGTGAGTAAATCATCAAACTTTAAATCCCGCGCCTAACGACCTTGTATGATATTTAAATCATTCGAGCCTGAATTAATTCTAATGAAGAAACTTTGAAATTTGTAAACGTAAATTTGTAAAAACATATGAAGAGATGGAAGAAGAAGAAGAAGAAGATGGAGAAGAAGAACCTTTCTAAAAAAAACACTTCCAATTGAAGTATATATAATTTTTCCCTATACAAAGTTATTGAGAGAATTCTAAATTTTATATGCATGTGATCACATTGGTTATATTATGTCAATGGTCTATGTTCTTCGTAATCTTATAAGAGTGAGAGTACCAATATAAATGGAGAGAAGGGGAAACTGAGCTCGGCACTCTCAAATACTCTGTCTTAGCGATTGCAGTGGTGTGTGCTTCATTCTTTCTTATTTATTCTCCTCGGCTCCACCTCCATAGCAACAGATTGTTTCATTTGAGATCAAAACGGATTTGGCTGCTGATTTAAATACACAAAGTGAACAACAATGAACTTTAAACTTTTTACGTGAGTAGAATTAGTCATTTGCATTATCAACCATTTCCTTACATATATAATTTATAATATCCTCTATCCACCCCCTTAACGTAACTCTATATTATGCATCGCGCCAAGATATGAAATAAATGCTAAGCGCGGATCAACAGCGGGAATGTTCTTAAATGACGGTATCGATTTCGATTGGTAAAAAGTGAAAGGTGTTAATTAATTGCATGCGTGTGAGAATATAAACCATTTTTTCAATACTAGGCCAAATCTCTGTTTCTAATTCTTCGGGGAAATCTTTTAGTAGAAACAGATTTTGAAAATTTAACCCCAGCATTCAATAATTTTATATGAAAAAGCATCCTTTAAAAATAAGAGATGGATCTTTATTTTGGCCAGAAACTTGATCGGAATGAACGGGTTGAAAGTGAAAACATATGGTGAGGAAGGTAAAATGGAAAGTGGTTTTAGCAGAAAATCAGATGCCGCTCTTGTCATATACATATAGACATAACCGGTAAACGTTTAATGACCGTGAGATCGAAGCTGCATCAAAAAATTGTTGTATATTATCAATTACAAAGATATTATGTAAAAAAAGAACTTTTACGAGACATTATTATAAGTTAATTATACATGCACATTAGTATTAATATATTCAACTTTTCTTCTTCTTCATCTTCATATTCGCTTCTGCCTTTTCCAAATGTAGACCAACATCAGAAAGCAGAAAAATTAAATTATCACATTTCATGCAATGTTACACAAGGAATTTCACACGAAACCAAAAGTTTCGTTTCATTTTCAGAAAAATTACATCAAAACTGTTCGTCAATTCCGATACGTTTCAAAATTACTCAAATGGCGGCTAATCGAAAAATCTACTTCAAATTTCAGTGTTGAAATACTATCTTGTTTTTCAAATTCTAATTTCGAACTCTTTATTCTGACTAATTCTGATTTTGTTCTATTCAAGGGAAAACTTTTTCTTTACTAAGAAAATTTCGTGAAATCAAAAATTTCAAGTCGGTGCAAATGAAACGGATCATGTTTCACTGGGGAACAAATTTTATTACGAATTTTAGAATATGTCCCGACTCCTCGGTTGTAGAATAAAATAAAATGCATTTTTGTGCAACGAATCGAATTTTGCATGGGTTTGAAATTCGATCCTTGCTAATTTTTACGGAGGGCTAAATTTCGGCAAGTTCTCTAACGCATTCCATCCTTAAAGATTGCTTAAAAAAGATTAAAAGAAATTGAAAATAAAATTTAGTTCCCTGAAGAATACTTTTACGCTAAACGTCGATAGTTTATGAAGCTAAAGTCCGCAACGTTTTTAAAAACGATTTTTTTAAAAGTTAAATTCATTTCTAATTTGCATGTTTCCTAATTTTTAAGAAATTAATTGTTACTTAAGTTACAATTATTAAAAAGTAACATGATTTAGAATCAAAAATAAAAAAAATCGACCCATAATTTTTTCGTTTTCGTTTTTAAAAACGTTGCGGACCTCAGCATCAAGTTCTTTTCGCAAAACCGAAACAATCAAAGATCAAACCCTTTTTTTAACTTTAAGTTAAAAAATTACTCTGAAAAATTCTCAATCAGCGAAAAATTCTAACATTAGTGACTTTGTATCTCTAAAAGTCCGGAATGACACTTTTCGTCGCTGAACGTTCGACACTAACTTCAGTGTCCTAATTTTTATTCATCTTTTCCTCATCTTTTATATCCTGTTATAATTTTTAATTTATTTATGCCTTTATAAATGTCTAAATTTCAATAATTGTATAACCGAATCGTATATAATTAATTTCGAAACAAAATTCAATTGAAGAAATTCATTTACGGAACCATTTACTTTTTTTCGAGAATTTGTTTTTTATAAAATAACTTTTGCATGACACTGGAATGCTGCAAGGATCCAAACCGGATTCCCGGTTTCAAATAACTATATTCATTTCACAAAAATAATCTGATTATTTTTTTTTTCATTTTTCCCCGGTCCTCCTCGTATCTCCCAAATCTAATGGAATTCCTTTAACCAGTTATTTAAAAACATCTTTCTGTTATTTTCAAGAAAACGATAATAAATTATCCCCCCAAAAGAGGAGCGAAAAGAGAAAAAACAAAATAATGAATTGATAACGTAAAAGCAATATTTTTTTTGTCGAAATTTCAACTTCGAGGAAAAGTGAATATGTTTGCTTCAACTTATAGTGTGAATTCAACTTTTAATTAATTTTTCCGAATCTATTTTTAATTACCAAAATATTTTGAAAAATATTTCCTCCGCTATTTTACATTTCTTTTGCTTTATTAATTTTCCACTAGTAGAAACTAGTAGAAACTAGTAGAAACTAATGAAAAATTTGAATAAACTTTTATTGAAATAAAAATGGAATGAAAATGAAATTAAAATGAAATTAAAATAAAATTTAAATTTAAATTAAATATAAATATTACATCATTGAAATGGTGGAATTTCATTGAATTGAAAGACACGTAGGACTATCCCATTTCCTTTAATAGATTTGTGTATAGATAAATTTTCGTTTTTCTAAAGAATGAAATTTTCTAGAGAATTTTTTTTTCAAATCACATGTCCCCACGTATTATAATGTCTTGAAATTCGATCTCTGATCAATTTTATTGAGAAACTACGTTGATTATCATTTTTCATAGTCCGTGCACTGTTGCTTGTTACGACTTTAACATGATTGCTAAACAAGTATTACATGAACTTATCCACAGTTCATAACCACTCTCGAATTCTGTGAAACGACTCTTTTACGAACTTTAAATAGTATAGTCATAATACATATAATTACATATGTTAGATATTATAAATATTATTTTACACACACTATTAGTTATGTTTGTCATTAACATATTACAGAAGTTACACGGATTAAACACTATGTACTTAACACTATTTCTTTGTATACAGAAATTTCTATTAAAAATAAGTGATGATGATGATAAATAAGAACCGATTAATCAAATTTTTCTCGATACTAATCTGACTGCAACTTTGCACCTTTCCAACTTTGAATGATTAAATGGATTCTATCTCTAAAAAATGTATATTTTCACTTTATTTAGATTAAAACCTAATCCGATAAACTGCAACTTTCACACTTTGTGCGATTGAAAAACGATTTCAATCCTTTTGGCGTAAAGTTTTTTGTACGATTTTTAACACTGATAGTTGATTTAATATTGATTCGAAAAGATTTAATATTCCATCTAAAATAAAGTGAAATATAGTGAAAACTAAATTTCTAATGTTAAAAATTAAGCAGTGTTTGTGAGTACTGCTATTGGGAATTTGAATTAAGAAAATGCTACATTTGCTACTGATAATGGATGCAGCTAACTTAGAGATTGCAGTCTTTTGTTTCAACCAGCAACATGGTTGGAAATCAGGAAAATTAAAATTTAGAGAGTAATCAGTGCACGTGCGAGAAAAAGAAATAATTTCACAGTTCTGAATCGAAGTTGTTGGCTGGTTTTCTTGACATTTGTAAACTGCCACACGTATGAATCCGCGACGTAACGATATAGCTAATCTCGAGAATAACGTCGTCCAGCCAAGGCAGAGAAAGTAAGTTTCATACCTGAATGTCACAGGTCAAAATCCGCCTGGTCTACCTATCGAATGCATGTTTTACTTTGAGAGACTTTTATACGTGCATTTTCAATCTCATCTTTTGCAACTGATGAATAAAACAATTCTTTTCACATATTCAATCCTATTGTTCGAGCATTTTCCTTTAGAAACCCATATGCTTCTCTCTAGCACTATTGAAAGCAAAAATGCTAAAATGCAAAGAAAAAAGAAAATACGAAAATACTTTTTATTCACTGCAGTCGTGATTGGACTTTGTAAATCCCTAAAAAGAAACTCTTCTCTGTTGTATCCTAAAAATTTAATGGATTGTATCCTTATTTAATGAATTATATTCTAATTTTTTAGTTTTCTTTTAGTTGTCTCAAAATTAAGACTTTTCATTTAATTTTAGTGTTTCGTGAAAATTATACGACTTGATACAATACTGAATGAAGATTATTTTACCTTTTGCAGATTTCTACTATTCTGTTTAATAGCTGTTAGTAAATCAGCCGAGGAGGAATATGATTATGAGGAAGAAGCTGCACACGCTCCAGTAACACCTGCCCCAGCAAAACCTGCGAGTCGATTAGGAGGACTCCTCGCACCCCGAAATAGACCAATTCCTGGAAAAAAAACCACACAAGTAAGTAAATTGACAGAATAGAAAATACAATCCTAAAACAGCAATTATTAATTAAAGCCAAACTGCAACTGTTCTCCATACCATTTCCAATTTTTGACCCTAAAATATATTTCAACTTTAACTCAATCATAAAATAAATTTCGAAAAATATTAAAAAATTTGTTACACTTTCAGTTAGCGTCGACAACTGCCAAAGCGATAGAACATCCAGTCGAAGAGGATGCTGAGGGTGACGAGGGTGCCGAAGAAAAGCAGGAAGAGGAAGTGCCGGTCACCACGACAGAAGCCTCTAAGAAATTAAAGGGTGGAGTTGTCAGACCCTTCAGGTAATTCGAGTCAAAAATTGAAATAATAAAAGCGGCGATCAATAAAAGTGTAGGAAATAAGTATTTCTTAGTACATAGTAGCAAATAGAAGGTTGGCAAACTATTCAAATACTAAAAATACTATTCTAATAATCCTAAAAACTATTTGTACAAATAATTAAGAATAGTAAAATGTTTGTTTCGACCAGCAGATCAAATGAAGATCTCTTAGCAGCTTTGAAGCGAAGAAGAGCGCAAGTCGGTTCGAGCCATTCCAAGGACCACAATTCAACACCTTCCCCAGCGGAAGCTACATCATCAGCATCTAAATTTAAGTAAGTTGCATAATTTTTGCTTCCTTTTGTCCAAACTTTTGGAGTTCTCACCCAAAGCACGAACCAACTGTTCTGACAAACATAGTAAGGTCAATACTAAAGCCAAATATGATGCTAAATACAGTGGAACCTCGAGTATCCAAACCTTTCCTATCCGAACTTGTTCATCATCGATCTTCTGATTTTTAATCTAAATTCTCAAAAACAGACCGAAATCGGTACAAAAATCCCACAAAAATAAAGAAACATCGACTATCTTCTGATTTTTAATCAAAATACCCAAAAACAGACCGAAATCAATACAAAAATCCCACAAAAATAAAGAAACATCGACTATCTTTTAATTTTTAATCTAAACACCTAAAAACAGACCGAAATACCAATTGATAGTGCAAACTACCTTCAAGAGAATTGAACCATAAGGAAACAAATACAGTGAACAATAAACAATTACAGATCCGCATCGAGTGGAAGCAGAAGAACCAGCGGAAATGCAGAAGCGACATCAAAGCCAACGAGTCGTGGAAGGTTCGGATCCTCCCGGGGTTCAAAACCAGTTCAGGAGGATGTTGAGGAAACTCAACACGATGAAGTTCAACTAAAACCGAAATCGTTTCGTAGAGGTTAACGAGTGGGTGAAATAATGTTACACGAACACTTTCGAATCTGTTGTTCCTTTGCGTTTAAAAGAAAGTTGTGATATGTGCGGCATAATGAGAAAACTGCGTTTCAAAATATAGACTGACATCGCCTCTATTATTGCCACATCAACTTTTTTTCTTTTTTTTTTTTTATTAATTTTTAACTCTCCAATGATTCAAATCAAATATTTATTGAAATGGAATTTCTTTTCTTTCAAACGATTTCACGAATAATCAATTTTTATATGAACAAAAACATAGAAAATCAAGTCGAACCTGTCGGAATGCAACTCGAATTTTGAAATTTTTTTGTCCAACAAGAATTATTTTCACTTAGTTCTGGAATATTGTAAAAATGTTACAAAGTTAAATTATAAAAAAAAATTTTCAAGGATGTTTTGAAAATCGAGTTGCATTCCGAGAGGTTCTATTGTAATGTTCACTTTGCTAAGATATCGTCAAATATTGTTTATGATAATTTGACCAAAAAAATATGTGATTTTTCAACGAAACAACAAAAAAGGAAATTTTGTACAAAGCCTATTGTTTTTTTATACAGTAAAGACAAAAAAATAAACAAAGAAACAAAGACAGCTGTTAATTTTTGAGAGCCAACGCCATAATAAGTTTATGTATAATTGAGGAGAATGTGACGGTTGATTAAAAAATATTCGTAAGTCGATAATAATTTGTGCATCTTAATTCCCGATTCTTTTTTCATTTATTCTCTTTAACGATAAAGAATCACGATAAATAATTATAATTATTTATTTAAAAAATAATAATATAAGATAAATAACAATTAATACTATTCTCTAAATTTAAATTAGTAAAAATGTTCACTAATTTGACTTTTTGATAATGAATTAGTATAATTTTACTAATAAATTAGTAGAAATAACTATTTATTAGTAAAACTATTAACTATTTAGTATTTACTAATTCAAAATCAAAAAGTCAGTCACTAATTCTGTAAATATTTTTACTAATTCAAATTTAGAGAGTAATAACAATATTAACAAATATTATTAATAATTAATAATATTAATAATTACATAAAAGTATAAAAAACTAAAAAAATATAAATATAAACAAAAGTATTTATGAAAAAGAAATCAGAAGTCATGGAAAAATTTATAAAAAAGAATGATAATTAATTAATTTCCAATTTTCAATATTGAAAAATCGTTAATTTAATTATAAAACATAATTATCAATTGATTATTGACACATTCACCGTAAATGGTAATTAATTATCGATTGCCTCATAGTGAATAGAAATTAATTATCGATTCTTTTACAATTGACTGCAATTAATTGAATAACTAATTATTGCTTTTATCATTTATTGTAAATAATATAATATTAAAATTACCATTTTTATAAGATTATATTTATTACTTAGGATCGGCCATAAACTACGTAGCGCTTCTACGGAGTGGAGGGGGGAATTAAAAATTTTTTTTGACTACGTAGTTTATGGATTTATTTTATTACTTATATTATTTGACATTTAACATTATTATTTAATCCTTATTTATTACTTTTGTATTATAATCATAAAAGTTAATAATTTTCACAGTTTTTCTAAAAATATCAAATTGAGACAATAAGCGTAAGAAAATTGTACAATTTTGTTAAGTTTTTTGCTTTTGAATTAATAAATTTTACTGAGAAATAGTAATTTCAACTAATTTATTCGTAAAATTTACTAATAAATTAGTACTCTCTAAATTTGAATTAGTGACTGACTTTTTGCTTTTGAATTAGTAAAAATCTTTAGTAATTTGAATTAGTGACTGACTTTCTGCTTTTGAATTAGTAAATTTTACTAATAAATAGTTATGTCTTCGAATTTTGTAGTCAAATTTACTAATTCAAAAGCAAAAAGTCACTCACTATTTGGAATTAGTAAACATTTTTACGAATTCAAATTTGAGAGTAAATCTTGTATTTTGCTCTACACAGTAAAAAGTAAATCTTAATTTAAGAGCTGCCTTAAATTCAACACTGTCTGCTATAATGTTAAAGGATACGAAAAACGTGCGTAAATTCAACATTGACTGTCTTAAAAATGTTGCATCTTAATTTAAGGCAGCTTTCGTGCCTTAAAATAAGATTTTCTTTTTACTGTGTAAATTAGAATTAGTAAAAATGTTTACTAACTTTTTGCTTTTGAATCAGTAAGTTTTACTAATAAATTAGTAGAAATTACTATTTCTGAATAAAATAGTCACCGTTTATTAATAAATAAATAAATAATTCAAATTGGTACAAATTTTTACTAATTTAAATTTAGAGAGTTAGAAAAACTGTGAATTAGTAAAATAAATTTATCAACAAAATAATTTGACTATAATAATTTAATTCTAATAATTCCGAGAGTGAAATAAGGGAGACGTAAGATTTAATTTAGGAAATAGTTTAAAGTGAACGATAAGAGTAAACTCGACAAAGTGTTTATAATTTATGATTAAATTATAATTGTATATGTATGCCGGGGAATGTGGAATTTCGTGCGAAATTTGCATAGAAGATATTTTGCTTTGTCTCGCTATGAACACACACTACTCAGTCGCAGATCACAATCAAACTTTACATCAAGAATAGAAATTCTGATCAGTCTGCGAGATACATTTCAGCGAGGGCGTGTTTTCTGTAGTCACGTTGAGACGCTTATACAAAGTTCAGTTGCAGTTTATGAATATGTAATTAATTTATCAAGCTCTGTTACATTTTTAATCAACTGAAACGAACTTTAACCTTTTTCACATTCTAGGTCAAATTTCAAGAGATAAACCATAACTTTTTTTTATTCTTAACAGATTGCGTGAAATAAAACATAGAAACAAGCACAGGTTATAAATTGATAAATACTTTAAAGGCATAAAGGTACTCGCATTTGGCAAATGATATATCATTTTGAAGAATAGGAGAGTCAAATGCGAAGATACATAGCACCTAGCTTGAAGGCGAGCTTGAAAGTTCAGTGATGCATGCACCAAACTCTTCCTGGGAATATTCACCTTTCTGTAAGGTAGGGAAAAACAATGGATGACCTTAGACGATCCTTTTCATTATACACAATTGCAGTCAAATCAAGTAAAAGGAGATGCATCGTATTCTGGAGTATTTCTTTGGGAAACGACCGCACTTTAACAAGATCAAAAATGGGTCAGGTGAACATAAAGAATCGCTTTGCTGGCTAAGATCGGTTACAAGATTCAGCTTTACAGAAAAGTGTGACTTGCGTTGGAGTGAAAGAGCAAACAATTCAGCTAAAAGCGAATCTCGTGATATCGATTGGAAATGAAAAGGAACATGGGAAAAACGACGAATCATCCGAGCCAAACCAACATTCATGATCTATCTAATCTGATAGATGGCAAATAATAACTCTGGTACGAGAAGACGAAAAGAAATATTTGCTGTAGCACAAATGTCAACTACTCTTGTTGTCAAACCTAAATTTATGAAAATAATTGATATTAAAAAGAATTGAATCGTTTAAAAGAATTTTATTTAATTTTTTTAATTGTATCCAAGAATTTTAGTAACATTTTTGAGAACAATTTTTTTATTTCAACTTTTAGCGAATTTAAAGTGGTGCAAATTTTCGAGAAAAAAACAGATTTGAAAAACGTTTTTAGTGTTTCAGTAGATGAGTACAAAGCTGTATATCATATAGAAACAATAAAATTAAATTAATACAGTAAATCCAAAATAACGTAACGATAGCAAATAATTTCGTAAGTACCACACAAAAGAAACAAGTCGATTCAGAAATCAGAAATAAAAGAAACATAAAATAATAAAACGGAAAATATCCATAAAATATAAATCATCAAACGATGGATGAATATAAAAATTATGGATTCAATATAAAATATACACGGAACGTGAGCTAAAGTAAAAGGACTAAAAAGCCTCAATGGCCTTGAGATCTCCATGTAGAGATCATTAAATAATACAAAAGATCCCAATACAATTCACTATATACTTCAATAGTCCACATATAATAAGAATAAAATTGGAAGTGAAATGAAAACGATTTTATCTGTTTTTTTCGCTATTATTGGAAATAATTCACGAATTATGTATGCACATAATAAAAAAAGTGATTATTTCTCGAAACGAATGAATTGATTTTTCTTCTGTGTAAATAGAAAGTTAATATATTGAATAATCGTCAAGAAAAGTCAGTCACACTTTTAAAAATAAGAAAATTCAATGTCGCTTATTCTACAGGGTGTCTCAAGACAAATTTATTTAATGATACCTTTCTCATTATAAACCAACTAACACAGTTGAAAAGAAAATATTCTATTCTCAATAATTTATAAGCACTTTAATAATTTTCCACTACTTTCTAATTTATTCAATTATTCAATTACAGATAAACAGATATTGAAACATATTTTGGCTTTTGTCAAGAAAAAATAATTGTCCCGTCTGCAATACACTTTATTCGATGTTAAGTAGTCAGTATAGTCAGTTCAAGAATGAAAATGATGAAGAATTCTGGTTTTTGTTACAGGGAAGTAGTCTTCAAGGAGATCAACGCTCCTTCCGCTCTTTTGCAAGATGGTCTAAATGATTGCGAAGTAGAAAAACTCATGTACTCGGGTAAAATCAAATAACACGTTAAAATTGAATGGTAAAATTGATTTTTTCCCTTTTTTACCAAACATCTTTTACTCTCTCAAGGATAGTAGTCGACCTTTTCAAACAACAAAATCTGAAGAGACTTTTGGAATATGTACACGTACGGTGGAAACACATTCATTTTATTTCTTCACGTATTTAATTAATAAGGTCAATCATATCACGAGTGTAATAATTATAAATTTAATACTATGAATCCAATATAAGAAGGAATTCCTAATGAAGGCTATTTGGCATACAGCAGCCATCCTTGATTTAATCAACATTCCGTCAAGAAAAATTTTCCGATTTGTGATGAGCTAACGGCTTGTCTGCCCGAACGCAATCTTGAACTACTCAGGGCTCGAGCCAGAGAAATTATTTAAAAATACGGACTTTACGGACCAAGAATGAAACCACAGCCGATAATCAGCAGAAGATGAAGAATTATTTTTTGACCGAACTTTATCTTCTAAATACAATTTACGAACTTTTCGTCTTTTTCAATTAAATTACGGACTTTACGGACCTTTTTTAAAAAAAAACTGACTCTTACGGTCTTCAAGCCAACTTACGAACACACTTCGAGCCCTGACTACTGAACTAGCGACTAATACAACAGGGTTGCCACAAAAATTTAATTTTCCTTTCCCCTGAAATTTAAGAAATCCGTCCGCAAAATATAATTAGCGAGAGCAAAAAAGAAATTCAATTTTCACTTTTCAGATATGAAGAAAATTAATTTAATTTTTTTTTATCATGTTCACGACATTTATAGGGACTATCCCATTTGATGTCGAGTCAAAGGTGAGAGGATATAAATATAAATAATAAACTGCAACTCTCGTGAGATAATTCATCTCCCTCTTTCTCTCTTGAATTTGTCGGCCTACTTTTCAAAATTCGTTTTCCACAACACACAAATTGACTTCTTAAGGAGGGATCTCCTGGTATGATAAAACTTCAACTATTAAATGTATGCAAATTTTCCCTCGTCTCATTGTAATTAAAATCTTTTCTCTCTCTTGCTCTCCATTTCGACCA